TTGTTGATTTGAGATACTTTCTCTTTTTTTGTGTAGGTATTTATTACGATAAATTTTCCTCTGAGTACTGCCTTTGCTGCATCCCTGAGTTTTGGTATGTTGTGCTTTCATTTTCACTTGTTTCTAAGAAATTTGTAATTTCTCCTTTGATTTCTCACTTAACCCATTGGTAGTTTAATAAGAGTATGTTGTTTAATTTATGTATGTTTGAGGGTTTTTTTTTTTTTCCTGTTATTGATTTCTAGCTCACTCCATTGTGGTCAGAGAAAATACTTTGTATGATTTCAATCTTTTTAAATTTATCAAGACTTGCTTTGTGACCTAAATGTGGTCTATCCTGGAGAATGATTCATATACACTGGATTAGAATGTATATTGGGCTATTGTTGTTGGGTGGACTGTTCTATATATGTCTGTTAAGTCTAATTGGTTTAGAGTGTCATTCAGGTCCTCTGTTTCCTTGTTGGTTTTCTTTCTAGATGTTCTTTCCAATATTGGAAGTGGTATATTGAAGTCTCCAACTATTATTGTAGTGCTATCTATTTTTCCCTTTAATTCTGTCAGTATTTGCTTTATATATTTAGGTGCTCTGATGTTGGGGTATATATATTTATGATTGTTAAATCTTCTTGATTAATTGACCCTTTTATCACTACATAATGTCCATCTTTATCTCTTCTAACAGATTTTGACTTAAAGTCTACTTCATCTGATATTAAGATTGCCACCCAGCTCTCTTTTGGTTGTTGTTTGCATGGAATATTTTTTTCCATCCTTTCCCTTTCAACCAATTTGTGTCCTTGGGTCTAAGGTGTGTCTGTTGTAAACAGCATATAGTTGGATCATGTTTTTTTATCCATTCTGCCACTCTCTGCCTTTTGATTGAAGCATTTAGTCCATTTAGATTCACTGTAGTTACTGATAAGAAGTAACTTATTTCTGTCATTTATTTGTTTTTTATGTGTCTTAAGCCTTCTTTGTCTTTGTCCTTGACTACTGCTTGCTTTTGTGTTCTGTTGGTTTTTTTGTAGTGAACCATTTTGATTCCCTTCTCCTTTCCTTTTGTGCATGTTTTTTAGATGTTTTATTAGTGGTTACTGTGAATATTACATTTAACAGCATTTATTTATAACATTCTAGGGCAAGGTGGTACCATCTTAACTTCAGTAACATAGAAGTTCTATATCTGTACCATTCCTCTTTATTTTTGTTGTTATCACTAATTATATCTTTATATTTCATGTGCCATGTAACATAATTTTATCCTTGCTTTTTATACATTTGCTAAGAAACTTGAAGGACAACACAATAAGAATTATGAAGCGTGAATACCTTATTACTAGCCTTTATACTTGTCCATAAGAGCTCTACTGCTAACCAAAAGGTTGACAGTTCAAATGCACTAGCCACTCCTTGGAAACCCTATGGGGTAGTTCTACTCTGTCGTATAGGGTTGCTATGAGTCAGGATCAACTCAGCAGCAATGGGTTTGGTTTTTTGTTTTTTTATACTTGTCCATGCACTTCCCTTTGTAAGGATCTTTCTTTTTTATACTTAGCTTTGAATTACTTTCTAGTGTCTTTTCTCTTCCATCTGCAGAACGCCCATGAGTATTTTTTGTAGGGCTGGTCTGGTGGATATGGACTCTCTCAGCTTCTGTTTATCTGGGAATGTTTTAATTTCACCCTGATTCTTGAAGGATAGTTTCGCTGGGTATAGTATTCTTGGTTGACAGTTTTTTTTTTTTTTTCCTTTTCCTTTAGGATTTTAAATATATCATTCCATTGCCTTCTGGCCTCCAATGTTTCTGAGCCAAAATCAACACTTAGTCTTATTGGGGATCCTTTGTATATGACTGTTTGCTTCTCTCTCACTGCTTTCAGGTTCTCTCTTTATCTTTACTTTTTGAGAGCCTAACAATGATGTGTCTTGGTGTAGATCTCTTTGGGTTTATCCTGCTAGGGATTCTTTGACCTTCTTGGATTTGTAGATTCATGTCCTTCATTAGATTGGGGAAATTTTTTGTCATTGTTTCTTCAGATATTGTTTCTGTCCCTTTCTTTCTCTCTCATCTCCTTCTGGAATTCCCATTATGCATATATTAGGTCTTTTGTTGTTGCCCCATAATTCCATTAAACTGTGCACAGTGTTCTTGAGCTTCTGTTCTTGTTGCTCTTCAGCTTCTGTAATTTTAACTGTCTTATTTTCTAATTCACTGGTTTCTTTCTTCTGCCTAATTAATCTGTTGGTAAGTCCTTCTCTTGTGTTTCTCGTTTCAATTATTTCCCCTTTCAGTTGCAGTATCTTTTTTTTTAGATCCTCATTTTGTTCTTACATTGTTTTCCTTATTTCTTTTAGTTCTTTGTCTATATTTTCCCTTAGGTTTTAATTATGTTTAACATTGTTATATTATATTTCTTCCATTTTTTTCATGATTTGGTCATCCCCAGATTCACTTTTATTCCCTTAGTCATGTTCATTTGGATGGATCACTGTTTCTCTGTTCTTTGTGTGTCTTGTGATTTTTTGATGGGGCATTGGAATTTTTGAGGGTGTTAACTTTCTCAGTTCTCCCTAGTATTTGGTGGTTTTGCCAGCACTTCTTTCTGCGAAAAACCATTAGGTGGGCAAAGCCTTTAGCCTTTGCTTACCATTTCCTCTCCCTCTCGGTGATAGCTCCTTTTCTCTTCCTGGTTTAATTAGGATTTGAAGTTCCACATCTCGGTTTTTAACTTTCAGTCTCTTCCAAACAAATCAGAAAACACACTGTGATCAATCCAGCCATCAGCCGGCACTGCTAGATGTTGTGTTCTCAGGCTAGATGTTGTGTTCTAATCAATCTGTTCATCAGAGGGCTCAGTCCTCTCTCTCTGGTTATTACTTCCTTCCCTTCTGTTTCTGCGGCCACATTTTCAGTCAGACAACCAATACCCAGCAAACCCTCTTTGGGGCTGGGTGTTACCTTCTGTTTTTGCCCGAGCCTTCCTTCCCTGTCTGTGGGGGCTGCCTCTATTTTAGCTGGCTTTCAGGGGAAGCACAAGCAGACTTTCCTCTGTTTCAGGAGGAGGAAGGGCTGACACTCCCCAGAAGAACCTCCAAGAGATCTGTGTTGTTTTCCAAGCCCCAGTGCCCCTGTGGTGGTTTGGGGGGGGCAGTCTCCTCTTAGGTGACCCTCCTCCTGGCTCCACTGCAGGGGACCTTCTGTAGGAGTTCATATCAGTCCAGCAGCCGACAGTTACTGGGTTAGGGAGGGATTGTCATGCTCCAAGTGGACCCCCAGGGAGGTCTGCCTTGTCGCTATCAGAGCCCACCCCATAGTATGTTGGCTGTGGGTGTAGCTTCCACTCAAGATGCCTGCTTCCTAGCACACATCAGCCTCAGACAGCAGTCCTCAGTGCCAACCGGAAGTAGGGGTAGACTAACCCAAACTGACCCCCAGGGAGATTTGTCCTGTTGGTTTCAGAGGCCTGAGCTATGGGGTGCCCAGAGAGGCAGGTAGAGTGCTGATTATGGGAGCCGACTCCAGTCCAGGAACCTTGTGTTGCAATTCACAGCAGGCTTGTAGCTGACAGTCTCCAGGTGGAGGAGCTGCTGGCACATTCCAAACGTACCCCCAGGAAGGTCTGCCTTGTTGATTTTAGAGCAGAAGCTTGGATTCCTCTCTCTTTGTACAGGCAGAGGGTGTAACATTTAGGGAAACAGGCTCTTTTTCTGGGGCACTTCCCCAGTTCACAGCAGCTGACAACCTGCATGGCTGTGAGGAGGGGCAGGGATGGTGGGAGAAGTGGTTTTACTACCGTATGTGACTTGTTGACTCGTTGATTTCTTGCCTGTCCGCATTTCCCCAATGCTTTCCTCTCCTCCCTGATTCAGAGTCCCTCAAAGCTGAGTATCATTTCCTTGTTGTATTTCTTGTTGTATTTGTGGGGGAGAGTTGGAACAATGGTCTGTGTACACTGCCATCTTCCCAGAATAACTCCACAAAACAGGTTTTTAAGATGAACTCTTCTAAAACTTTGTTCTAATGTTGGTTTCTAATAGCCATGAGTTGAGCATGTTCTGTAGCTTTTTGTACCCTAAGGATTCATGATGTCTAAGTCCAGTCGCCCTCCAGGGCTGAGTCCATGGGAAGCCTTGCAGAACTCCTGGCTAATTGGTGTCAGAGTCAGCCCTGGGACCTGGGCCTTGTGGCCCTATGTGGCCCTGCTGATGGATAGGAGGGAAGCCAGGAGACACCTTGGCTGGCAGTGCAGTTTGGAGTCTGAGTTTAGGCTCCACCTCTGGGGACCCGATGACCCTGGACCAGCTGCTTTACTTCTCCTGAGCTTTGGTTTCCTCACCTAGAGAGTGGGGCAGGAAGGAAGGCTCTGATGAGGGTGGACACGGGGAATTCTATCTCACTGGTGGGGAGGAGAGGAGCTGAGCAAGTCTGTGGGGGGAGGCCTGGGTTTGTCGGGAGTGTAGGAGGTGGGGGCTGGGCAGCAGGCATACCAGTGGCCTCTGGTGAGTGGGCCTGTTCCTGGGATGCTGCCCAGTGTGCTCCGGGGGCCATGGGCTCAGGCTGACTGCCTGGCTCTGGGACCAGGTGGCGTAGGAGGCAAGGGAGGGCTTGACCCAGCACTGCTGTAGATGGCAGTGCCCAGAAGGGCCAGAAGTCCCTGGGACCAGCACTACATGGGAGACAGTACCCAGGAGGGTGGAATGCCGCCTAGGACCAGTGCTGTGCGGGGGCGGGGGGGCAGTGCCCAGGAGGGCCAGTGAGAAGGTTGTGGCCAGAGAGGAAGTCTGAGGGTCCTGCCTGTGAGCAGCCACAGCTGGGTGGAAGGTGGCCTGTGGGTTGGCCAGGATGCCGAGGCTGAGTGGAGCTCACCAGTGTTCCTGAGCTCAGTGGCTATGTAGGAAGCCCCTGGCCAGTCCCTTCCCTGCCTATCTGGGCCTTGTGGGCCCTGGGAGTCCCTGACGCCTGTGTGCTCACCTGCCTGCTTCTCTTCTCATTCCAGCTGCTCAGTTGGGAAGGAAGGTGGCTGTGGCTGATTATGTGGACCCTTCCCCCCGAGGTAGGCAGCCCGACGGGAGTGGGTGGCCTGAGGGTGATGGGGTGGGGGAGAGGGGGACTGGGTCATATACAAAGGGTGGCTGACACATTCATCCCCAGAGACTCCAAAGGGTGTCCTGCTTCATGTGTAAGCTGCCATTATTTTAAAGCTTCTTCAGTATTCTGATTTTTCAGACTACTCTGAATATAGTTATAGAGAGCAAATTTGTGTGGCAAGGTTCTCTGGTTTGGGTTTGAGTTACAACAACTTGAGAGAATTCCAAACAAGTGTAGAAGCCTGGGCAAGCCCCTCGGAGTTCCGGCACTCTTGCTTCCTGCCAGTCACTGGCTGTGGCTGTCTGACAGCCTGCCTAACTTTGCAATGTGTTCTTCCATGTCCAGGTACCAGGTGGGGCCTTGGCGGCACCTGTGTCAATGTTGGCTGCATCCCCAAGAAGTTGATGCACCAGGCAGCCCTACTGGGGGGCCTGATCCGAGATGCCCAACACTATGGCTGGGAGGTGACTCACCCCATCCCACACAACTGGTGAGGAGTGGGTGCTGGGTGTTTTCAGTTCAATTCTGCTACTTGTAGGCTGTGTGAGAGATTTGCTCATCACGTTAATCTTCATGAGGAGCTTGCTGTGGGATGGGGTTCTTAGCTGGGAGTGACTCTGTCCCCCTGGACATTGTCTGGAGACATTTTTGGTTGTCACAGCCTGGGGAGAGGGGGAGGGTGCTGTGTCTACAAGGTAGAGGCCAGGGATGCTGATAAGCATTCTCCCGTGCACAGGACAGCCCCAACCACCAAGAACTGCCCAACCCCAGTGCCAGTATTGTGGCAGTGGGGAAGCCTGCTCTAGGGTCTGGTCTTCCAGGGAGAGGGTGGCAGCAGGTGGGTGGCACTGTGACTCTGCTCAGAGTCTACCACAAACCTGGCTCAGCTGTCACACTGGCCTCAGGAGCTGCCACAGGCCAGCCCTTTGGTGGTGTGCAGATGGGGCTGGTGACAGGAATGCGTAACGCTTCAGGACACAGAGCTGGTTGCTTCTTGCTGGTTGTGGGCCAAAGCTCATCATTGTCAGAAAACCGGGCCCTGATTAGGGACAGTAGCGGTGACACTTTAGGGTGGACATCATACTTCTACTACCTTTAAAAATACGTTCGTTTTTTGATATTTGCATCTAATAGTTTTTTATGGAAGGAGCCCTGGTGGCACAATAGTTCAGCACTCGGATACTAACCAAAAGGTTGGTAGTTAGAACCTACCCAGCTGTTCCACAGGAGAAAGACCTGGCAATCTGCTTCCGTACAGATTACAGCCTAGAAAACCCTGTGGGGCAGTTCTAGTTTGTCACATGGGGTCGCCATGAGTTGGAATCAACTCAGCGGCACCTGACAACGAAGTTGTTATGGATGTCTGCGGTTAATACTTCTGTTGTGACTTTTAATATTTTATGTTGTGTGTTATCAGGAGGAAGATGGCAGAAGCTGTTCAGAACCATGTCAAATCCTTGAACTGGGGACACCGAGTCCAGCTGCAGGACAGGTACAAATGCTTGTGTGCACCTCTCCTGCCCCTGGAAGCGCAGCCTCTGAGGGGCAGATGACTTTTCAGGCCTCTGGTTGTTTTGTGCCTGTGACAAACCCTTAGTGAGCATCTGCATGGAGCACGCCCTAGACAGGCTCTGGGGCTCGGCAGTGAGGTGACGAGGGGTCCCTGCTCTCAGGTAGGGACGCAGACAGGAGCTGGTGGGAGAGCGCTGGGTGCATGAAAGGCCTTTCTGCTGAGCAAGTGCAAATGTCAGGAGCCTGGGCAGAGAGGACAGGTACCTGAGGAGTGTGTTGGAGGAACGACCCAGAGGTCGGGGCTGCCCTGAGGGGTGAGGCATGGTCGGGCTGTGCTGAGGGGTGAGGCATGATCGGGCTGTGCTGAGGGGTGAGGCATGGTCGGGCTGGGCTGGGGAGGCCCAGAGCAGTGGCTGGGCTCAGGGGACCCAGGGGCCATCATGGGGGCCCAGCTCTTTCCTCCAGGTGGGCAGCCTTTCCCTGGCCAGGGCCAGCCCACAGTTACATGAAAGGCACCTGGCAAGCCCATGTGACTGGCAGCAAAGAGGAAGCCCCAGGCACTGTCCCTGAACCACAAACCTCACATCCCACTTTATGGCTTCTGGCTTCCCTGGGGCCCCATGCCCAGGCTGGGGACACTGCATCTCCAGAGGCCTGGAACCATAAGACCCTGTCAACCCCTTGGGGTTCTGTGGCCCAAATGCCGATGCATCCTCCTAGTTTTTAGCCTACCCCCTGCCTAGGAGCCGCTGTCCAGGGAGGTGCCAGCCCTGGCGTTTGGCTCTGCACAGCTTTGCTCCTGGTGGTGGTAGCTCTGCCCTGTGCCCCATGCGTTGCCGAGGGAGACAGTGGTCCGTCAGAGGTCTGGTGGCCCTCACCTGTGTGCAGTGTGCTCAGCCCATGGAATCTTCTTGGTGCTCTGCAGTCAGCAGCTGAGAAGAGGCTGAGTCAGAGGAGCGGCCTCTTGCTGCAGCCCTCGCTTCCTGAGCCGCCTTCGCTGGGGCTAAGCTGCACGGTGCTGACTGGGAGTCTCTGTTTCCTCCTCTGGGTGGGCTCTGGGCCCCTGGGCACAGTCAGTCTCATGTGGTTCCCTGGAGGTGTTGGCTCTGGCAGGCCCAGGAGAGAGCCACCCTTCCTCCTTGTGCTGGGCCCTGTAGGAGGCCCGTGCAGGATGTCATGTCGGGTCACACAACTTTTACTTCGAGGGCGATGAAGTGGCAGCATTCCATAGCAGATTTACTTGGCTCAGGAACAAGGGGGGATGCAAGGCTGTAAGTGGGGAGGGCAACAGGCTCCGGGTAATGCTGCATTGAGCCACCGAGAGCACATCCCAGCAGTGTAGTCGTGGTCATTTGACGGTGTTGGGTGCACAGACCCTGGGTGCTCACAGTCCTGTCACACACAATCACCTGCCCTCACAGTGCCCCTGAAAGCAGAGGGTAGATGCCTACCTGGTGGGAAGCTGGTCACTTGGGCAGCAGGTAACTGGGTGTGCTGGGCCTTTGTTCCCTAGTGGACTGTACCCTCAGTGGTGGCCTCGCCACCTTTCCTGTTAGATACGAGGCTGCACCTGGGCTCTCAGGACTGTGGCTCTGCCTTGGTGCTTGTGGTCCTCGTGTCCCAGGGAGCTCTGGGGGACATGGGTGAAGTGCCGCACCTTCCCCTCCACACTTTCCAGTGTGGTTCTCCACACGCCTCTTGCCCCACCTGAGCCATAGTGGTGGGCGGTAGGCTGGCAGCTCACCTTCCAGCATCTGAACTGTGCTGCCTGTTTACTCTGCTCAGAGGAGAATCTTATTTTTATTTTGCAGAAAAGTTGACTACTTTAACATCAAAGCCAGCTTTGTCAATGAGCACACAGTGTGTGGCGTCACAAAAGGTGGGAAGGAGGTGAGTGCCTGATGCGCAGAGCATGTGCCTCGGACCATGCTGCGGCCGTGCTAACGCTGCTCCAGCCTTTGCAGCTTCCGAGCTTCCTCAGCTGTTGGAATTAGAGACAGATTTCTTTAAAAACAGAGTAACCAGCTCGTGTGTGATGCTGAGTGGGATCCCTGGGTGGCAGAAACGGTTAAGCACCTGACTTGACTACTAGCCGCAAGGTTGGTGGTTTGAACCCACCCAGAGGTGCCGCAGAAGTCATGCCTGGCAATCTGCTTCTGAGAGGTCACAGGTTTGAAAACCCTATGGAGCAGTTCTACTCTGTACACATGGGATCGCCATGAGTCGGGATCGACTCAACAGCAACTAACAACAATAGCAACAGTAACAATGTATAATGCTCACCATGCCAGGCTGCCCTGCTATGTGGTGTGAGGGGGCAGGCAAATCATGCCGTCATTGCAGGGTTTTGTGGGGATTAGAGGAGGTGCCCGCCGGTGCTTTGTAAACTGTGAAGTGCTTAGAGTAAGATGTTTCTCCACCCTCTTCTGCCTGTCCACCTCCCATTCAGCTGACCCTTGAGCAGTATGCTAGTACTGTGGGACCTCTGCTGCTGGCCGGAGGGTCCACACTGCAGGGCAGGGACCTGCTGCCCAGGACACCTCCGGACACCTGAGCACCTCAGATGGGTGACCACAGTATACCTGTTTGACCCATAGCTTTCTTTGGTTATTCTTAGACTCTGCTTTCAGCTGATCACATCGTCATCGCTACTGGAGGACGGCCAAAGTACCCCATGCATGTGAGTGTCCCCCAAAACAATGTCATCTGGCACCACCGAGCACGTTTGTGGTCTCTGGGCTCACCTGGTACACAGTGCTTATGATTCCCTTTATTGCGCTGTAACTCACATACCATAAAATTCACCCTTCTAAACTGTACAATTCGGTGGCTTTTAGTAGAGTCATTGTGTTTTACAGCCATCAGTCACCACTATTTCCAGGATATTTGCATCACCCTGAAAAGAAACCCTATACCCATTAGTAGTCACTCCTCATTCCCTCTTCCCTCCAGGCCCTGGTAATCCGTAATCTACTTTCTGTCTCTATAGATTTGCCTCTTCTGGACATTTCATACGTAGAATAAATACAATATGTGGTCTTTTGTATCTGGATTCTTTAACTTAGCATGTTTTCCAGGTTCTTTCATGTCATAGCATGTATCAAGACTTTATTCCTTTTTATGGCTGAATAATATTTCATTGTATGGGTATTCCACATGTTATTTATCCATCGTTCAGTTAATGGACATTTGCGTTGTTTCCACATTTTAGCTGTTATAAATAATGCTGCTATGAACATTCTTGTACAGCTTTTTGTGTGGACACATGTTTTCATTTCTCTTGTGTATGTTGCACTGAATCTGTAGATCACCTTGGGTAGTGGAATTGCTGGGTGTGTTTAACTTTTTGAGGAACTGCCAGGCTGTTTTCCAAAGTGGTTGCGCCATTTTATATTCCTACCGGCAAAGTATGAGGGTCCCATTTTCTCCACATTCTCACCAATGCTGTTATTTTCCTTTTTTAAAAAATTGTAGCCATCCTATATCTAACTGTGGATTTAATTTGCATTTCCTTGGTGACTAATGACACTGAATATCTTTTCATGGGCTTATTGGCCATTATATTTCATCTTGGGAGAAATGTCTCTTCAATTTTTTTGCCTATTTTTAAATTGGGTTATTTCTCTTTTTATTGTTGAGTTGTAAGTGTTCTTTACATATTCTGGATACTAGACAACAACAAAATATATATCAGGTATATGATTTGCAAATACCTCCTTCAGAGAGTTGTCTTTTCATTTTCTTTTTTTTAAAACAATTGGATTTAATTAGTAAAGTTACTGGATATATAATAAATATACAAATGTCAAGATTATTACTATATATAGTAATATATTGTGGATAATGTAATAAAAAGTAAATCCTGTTTATGATAACAGGTTTACATACAACATGTAGGAATTCTGTTAGCTATTCTATTATTTCCTGATCTGCTTACTATGCTTTTTTTTTTTATTGTGGTAAATATGTACGTAACAAATATTTGCCATTTCAACAATCTTCACTTGTACAATTTAGTGACATTAATTGTATTCATCATGTTGTGCAACCATCACTGTTACTCGTTTCCAACTTTTCCCATCATCCTTAACAGAAGCTTAGTGTCTCCTAAGCAGTGAGTTCCCTTATCCTCCTTCCTCCCGCCTGCCCCTGGTAACCACTGATATAACCTTAGGTGTAGTATACATTTGCCTGTTCTAGATATTTCATGTTAGTGGAATCATACAATATTTGTCCTTTGGTGACTAACTTGTTCCACTCAGCATGTTTTTAAGGTTTGTCCATTTTGTAGTATACATCAAGACTTAATTTCTCTTTATGGCTGAGTCATATTCCATAGTATGTGTGTACCACATTTTGTTTATCCATTCATTTATTGATGGCTATTTAAGTTATTTCCATCTTTTGGGTATTGTGAATAGTGCTGCAGTGAACGTTGGTACACAAGTATCTGTTTGAATTCCTGCTTTCAATTCTTTTGGGTATTACACACATAGGAGGGGAATTACTGGATTGTATGGAGCCCTTGTGGCCAGTGGTTAAGTGCTTGACTGCTAACTGAAAGGTTGGAGGTTTGAACCCACCAGCCACTCCATCAGAGAAAGATGTGGCAGTCTGCTTCTATAAAGATTTACAACCTCCGAAACCCTGTGGGGCAATTCTTCTCTGTCTTGTAGGGTCACAATGAGTTAGAAACGACTGGATGGCAATGGGTATGGTAACTCTATATTTAACTTTTTTAGGAACCACCAGACTTTTATCCATAGTGGGTGTACTATTTTACAATCCCACCAGCAATGAATATGGGTTCCAATTTTTCCACATCCTTGCCAACACCTGTTTTCCAATTTTTAAATCATGGCCATCTTAGTGGATATGAAGTGATATCTCATTGTGGTTTTAATTTGCATTTCCCTAATGACTAATGATGTTGAGCATCTTTTCATGTGTTTGTTGGCCATTTGTGTATCTTCTCTTTTCACTTCCTTGATTAGTGTCTTTTGATGCACAAAAGTTTTTAGTTTTGATGAAGTATAATTTAAACCACTGCCTAATACAAGGTTGTGAAGATTTACCTATGTTTTCTTCTAAGATTTTTATAGTTTCAAGTCTTACATTTAATCTTTTAATCCATTTTGAATTACAATTTGTATACGGTGTGAGATAAGGGTCAAAATTCATTCTTTTGCATGTGGATATCCAGTTGTCTCAGCACCACTTGTAGAAAAGACTATTCTTTCTCCATTAAATGGCCTTGACACCCATGTGGAAAATCAATTAACCATAGATATTTGAATTTATTTCTCAATTCTGTTTCATTGATCTCCGTATATCCTATACCAGTACCAAACTGTCTTGATTATTGTAGCTTAGTAGTAAGTTTTGAAATTGGGAAGCGTGAGACTTCCCACTTCTTTTAGAAGATTGCTTTGGCTTGTTTGGGGCCCCTTGTAATTCTGTGGAGGCCTGGTGGTGCAGTGGTAAAGAGCTAAGCCTGCAAACCAAAAAAGTCAGCAGTTCAAATCTACCAGCTGCTTCTTGGAAACCCTATGGGGCAATTCTACTGTGTCCTATTGGGTCGCTTTGAGTCAGAATCGACTTGACAGCAAGAGGTTTGGTTTGTTTTTGTTTTTGTTTTTTTTGCGATTCTGTATGAATTTTAGGATCAGCTTGTCCATTTCCGTAAAAAAGGCAGTTCGAATTTTGATAGAAATTGCGTTGAATCTGTAGATCAGTTTGGGGAGTATTACCATCTTAACAATACTAAGTCTTCCAATCTGTGAACATAGGATGTCTTTCCATTTATTTAAGGCTTATTTAATTTCTTTCAACAATATTTTGTAGTTTTCAGTGTATAAATCTTGCACTTCTTTGGTACAGTTTATTCCTAAGTATTTCATTCCTTTTGATGCTTTTGTAAATAGAATTGTTTTATTAGTTTCCCTTTCAAATTGTTCATTGCTAGTGTGTAGAAATATGGCTGATTTTTGTATACTGGTCTTGTGTCCTGTAACCTTGCTGAACTAATTTATTAGCTTTAATAGTGTGTGTATTTTTTATCATTTTTTGTAGTAAGATCACATCATCTGCAAATAGAGATAGTTTTACTTCTTGCTTTCCAATCTGGATGCCATTTATGTTTGTATGTATGTACATATGTGTATATGTATGTATCTAACTACTTACTTGTTTATTTATTTATTTATTTTTTGCCTAATTGCCCTGGCTAGGACGCTCAGTATAATGTTGAATAGAAGTGGAGAGGGCAGACATTCTTGTCTTTTTCCTGATCTTAGGGGGAAGCTTTCAGTATTTGACCATTAAGTATGATGTTAGCTGTGGGTTTTTTGTAGATGCCCTTCATCAGGTTGAGGTACTTCCCTTCTATTTTCAGTTTGTTGAATGTTTTTGTCATGAAAGCGTGTTGAACTTTGTCAACTGTTTTTCTGCACCTATTGAGATGTGGAGTTTTTCCTCTTCATTCTCTTAATATGGTGTGTTACACTGATTGATTTTCATATCTTGAACCAACCTTGTATTTCTGGGATAAATCCTACTTGGTAATGGTGTATAATCCCTTTTATATGCTGCTGGATTTAGTTTGCTAGTATTTTGTTGAGGATTTTTTTTCTGTATTAACAAAGAATATTTGTCTAGTTTTCTTCTGATGTCTTTGTCTGGTTTTGATATCACGTAATACTGGCCTCATAGAATAAGTTAGAAAGTCTTTCATCCTCTTCTATTTTTTGAAAGAATTCATGAAAGATTGGTGTTAATTCTTTAAACTTCTGGTAGAATTCACTAGTAAAGCCATCTGTCTTAGTTTCTTAGTGCTGCTGTAACAGAAATACCACAATTGGGTGGCTTTAAAGAACATAAATTTATATTCTTACAATTCAGGAGGCTACAAGTCCAAAATCAAGATGTGGCTCTAGGGGGAGGTCATTTCTTGTCTATTTCAGCTTGTTGTTGTTGTTATGTGCTGTCGAGTTGGTTCCGACTCATAGCGACCCTGTGCACAACAGAGCAAAACACTGCTCAGTCCTGCGCCATCCCCACAATTGTTGTTACGCTTGAGCCCATTGTTGCATCGTCTGTGTCAGTCCATCGTGTTGAGGGTCTTACTCTTTTTCACTGACCCTCTACTTTACCAAGCTTGATGTCCTTCTCCAGGGACTGGTCCCTCCTGATAACATGTCCAAAGTATGTGAGACATAGTCTCGCCATTCTTGCTTCTAAGGAGCATTCTGGTTGTACTTCTTCCGAGATAGATTTGTTCATTCTTTTGGCAATCCATGGTATATTCAATATTCTTTGCCAGCACCACAATTCAAAGGCATTAAGTCTTTGGTCTTCCTTATTCGCTGTCCACTTTTCACATGCATATGAGGTGAATGAAAACTCCATGGCTTGAGTCAGGCACACCTTAGTCTTCAAGGTGACATCTTTGCTTTTTAACACTTTAAAGAGATCTTTTGCAGCAGATTTGCCTAATGCAATGCGTCATTTGATTTCTTGACTGCTGCTTCCATGGGTGTTGATTGTGGATCCAAGTAAAATGAAATCCTTGACAGCTTCAATCTTTCCTCCGTTTATCATGATGTTGCTTATTGGTCCAGTTGTGAGGATTTTTGTTTTCTTCATGTTGAGGTGTAATCCATACTGAAGGCTGTAGTCTTT